ACTTTTTTTTTCTAAAATGTGTGCATCTCTTGTTTTTCTCCTCAGCAGAGGAATGAAATCCATCAATCTGCCATTCATCAATTTTATCGCCCATTCTCTCCTCCTTGGCCACCCCTAAACCCCAAAAGGAAAGCTCTTGGTGCTGTTTTGAAAAATCGTCCTGAGAAAAAAATGATTCCAAACAGCTCAACCCTTTGTTTTCCCTCTCAATAAAGCAAGCGACAAGGCCGGCACTTGATGTACGAGCATTGTGGGCGCCTGGGCGTGCAGCAGAGTGCATAAGCAAAGTCATGTTTCATGGCAGGCTGTGTGTTCTCTCCTTTCTTTACCTTTACCACGCCGTCCAGATGAAGATATAATGTTCCGCAACACGTACAGGAACTGATTCGGGTCAATACTCGACTCCGGCATATTGTGGAGACTGAGCTAGAGTGGTGGGAGGTGAAATGAGGGCACAGCTGGAGCTAGTAATATTAAAATTAGAAATCGGACCAGGTTGAGTCCATGAAATCATTTTCTGGTGTTGTCGGAACAAACGTACAAAACAGCCGCGCTATGTAGCCTTGAACGAAACGCACTTACGACTCATCCTAGCTAAGTCCAACTAAAGCTGAACCAAAGTCCACCCCAAACAGCCCCACCGCTGCTCCTCACCTATATGAGCAATGCTAAAATTTCACTATATGGAGTATTACTCGGAGTATTACTGCGTGTCACCCGGGGACAACAATCTGTGAGTGTCAGCAAGCATCCAAATAATGGATGAGCGTGAGGCCTGCTGCTGATGATCCTTAAATATTAATGTTGTTGAACCACAGTCCATCTCAACCCTGACACAGCAGTGAAAGAAAATCACTTGCCCTTTCAATGAGATAAAACACACAGCAGACGTCCACGTCCACACGAGTCTCCGCAGACTGAGGCATGACACGTCTGCCGCGAAGCCAACCAACTCTGACTGACTGTTCCTTTGGATTTTTACAGCCAAGTTTAAAACAAAAGCACGGAGCAGATTACAGCAGGATTAGGTTCATGCCACGGGGATACAGTGTTCTAAGTCTGTCATGTGACTTTCGCTGGCCGTCTCTGCTGTCATCTTCAACCTTTATCACTCATACATTATCCAGTAAAGCTGTCACAGTAGCTGTCCTATATTTTGGCCCAGTCCTTTTTTTTCCTACTCACCAGAGGCTGAATGTCTTATTGCTGTATTTCTACATGTACATACAGTAAATCTGATCTGCAAAAAAAAAACACACTGATTCTCTTTTTTCCAACTTCAAAACATGTCTCCAATCAATCAAGGTACTGTGTACTCTTTATCATGTATTACATGCTGTCATTGGTAGAAAAGTTTTCTGTTTTGAGATTTATGTGTGCCGTATATAGATAAGAACGTTACTTCTGCTAAATGTACTTTACCTGACCACTTTAGTGGATAACAATACAACAAGCTTTAATTGAAATTTTATTGCAAAATTGTTCATTAATTCTACTCCAATCCAACCTTTGCATGCCTTTAACATATACTTATCGACTTGTGTTGTGTGTGCCAGGCTAATAACTACCATAAAGTCACAATTTTATAACTGGGTAAAGAAGTAGATACAAAAAGTACAATCCTAAAATAGCTTAATTAATGAGCCCACTCTGGACAAACTTTGCCTTCTGGAGCAAAACCTTAATTTGTGGTGTGTGGTGTGCCTGTAAACTCCTTTTTTTTTTCTTTCAGCATTTTTTAAAATAGGTTGTCTCAGTGGAAGGCTCGAAGCTTTCTAATCCAAGAGCATGAGCCTGTTTTTAGTGCGGTACTAATCCAGAGCCCCTGTTTCCCCCACTTTGACCAGATGAAAGGACTTTCCCAGATGTTTACGGCCTGTGAAAGTGGCAGGGAGCTCATGTCGGATGCTGGCGCAGCCACCGACAAAGAGAAAACATGGCTATAAAGCTGCATGCTGTTTAAGTAAAGGAAACAGGAAGTAAACAATGTCTGTATGACGGAGGGAGAAGCACGAACTGTACGACTGTAGGAAATATACTTCTTTGTGTCCTGTTTGTCTATCTGTCCATCTATCTATCTGTATTACATATTTAACACATATATTACTATTTTTCACACTATTCTTCGGTACTTCTGCAGTCTTTTTTGTCATCTTTTCAGTCTGTCAACACTTGTGTAAGTCCCAGGCGTCGACTATTGAATTTCGTCAGCCATAGTCTCATCATTACCACGAACCTATGTCCTCTGTCCCCATAATTGTTGTATATCTGTCGCATCCCAAGGGAATTCCGAAATTAGAGTTTTCTCGTTTGCGCTGCATTTCATTAGGCGCGCTATCTTTCCGTACAAAACAAGTGACACAGATCCAGCAAATGAGCCGAGTTGGTTCAGGTCACAGATCTTGGACGTATAACCTTGATCTGAGTCCGCCAGATGGCACTCACAGTAGCGCTGCCATACTTAGCACAGTGACCTCTGTGACATTGTTACTCCCCATTCTGTATGGGTGAGTGCAGCGTATGTTTAAATGTGAATGTGACACTGAGAGTCCAGCCTTTACAAAAGTCAATCTGAAGCTGCGCTCAGCTGGTGCCCTGTGTTTTAAAAACTCTTATTTAGCTTTCTAAAACCACAGTGCTGATTCTGAAACCTTTATTTAGATCCTATGTACCGTCTTAGCATAAATGAATGTCCACTTCTTTAATTCAGAGGAGGTAAAGCAGTGACGAGTAGTTACAGGGAATTACCGCTTACATGCTGTGAATACAAAGCAATAGAAGCTTTGATATCCAGTGGAAGATAAAAGACAAACATCAGCAGTACTTTACAGATGTGTGTAGTATTCACATAAGGGAGGGCTGAGAGAAAATTACAATTCACAAAACATGTTTATATAGATGCTAGTAAGGATTTATTTAGATTATTTTAAAGTTGTGTAAAAACCTAAGAAGTGTGTATAAATGTACACACAGGCATATATTCAACAGTATCTGCCATTATGCAAAACCGCGAGCGTTAAGCTATGCAGCAACAGCAGAGAACGACTCACAAACAGCAGTGAGACTACGAAACTCCTGACCCTCAGGTCGACAGTATTAATCATGTTTTAATATAAAATATTCAAAATAAGACAAATGCATAGAAGCTTACACTGCTAACCTCTAAGCTATTGACCTGATCTTTTGTTTCAATATTCCTGCACAGCACGGCCCGAGGGCCCCTTTGTTAGAAGTGAATTATGCAGATGTGGCTTCATTAATGCAATTATATCTTATGTATACTGGAATGCTAATAAGGTAAATAGTCCAAAGTGGGGTTTCTGTGATTTGTAATAATTTCCTCCAAGGTTCCAATTAGAAAAGCTTCTTTAAATGAACGTGCCCTGTGTTGCTGTGGTCGTGACTTAATCTGAATTGAGCAGAGCAGCCTTTCATTAGGTTACACGCGGCTGCAATGTGTCTTGTCACTTTGCGGAGAGAGCAACCAATAAAATCTGTTGAACGGAATTAGATTGTCATCGACGTGTCGGCGGATCATGGGAACAACAGATCGATGGCTGAGTCCCCACTTGATATGTAAAGATGCAGATGATGGACAAATAAATAACGGGTAATTCAGCAGGGAAGGCGTGCTGACCTGCACTACAGTCTACTGTACCTTACAGTACACACCACATGTGGACACATGCATATACACACATACACACAAACAAGTCCTTTTTTTCTCTTTCAAACTTTACCTTGGAGCAATGTTACAGCGCTGAGCAGCAGAGTGAGAGTGAAAGGGGGGGAGACAGAAACCGAACCAATTCCAATACAGCACTAATGGGCCACATCATGCCAATACAATAAATAATGGCCCTTTCAGCTCACTCAATAGTGAGTAAATGAAAATTTAACCTTTCATTAAACGTGGTTGTATTATTTCCCAACTTGCTTGCCAGCTCCATTTCCCTTTTGTTTATTTATTTATTTACTTATTTTTTCCTCGTGTACAAGAACAATGTGTTAATGTTGTGGTGCAGGGCTGTGCACCAGTGTTCGGCGGTGTATTTTAAAACACTAAGGTCACTGGATCAAAAAGGCGGTTGGTACTATTATCACACGTGCTGCTTCCAATTAGACATTCCAAGTGTGTGTGATATTTATTACATTAATTAAACCTGCATAGTAAAAAAATGAAATGATGGCCAACACAAAGGTTTTAGAGTTACAGCGTTTCCTTGTACAGTGTCGTTTTTATGTTCAGAATAACTGTTCCCCAGTTCCCATTTACGTCTGCAAGATGTGCAGGTATTATTGGGAGAGGAGGCACCGAGTCTCCAGGCATATACTGTCTGCTAGCTGCTGAAAAGGCTCTGGGCCCGCACTCCACTGTGGCCAACCTGCCCCCTTAATTAATTAGTGCTAGCAGGAAGTTCTGGCCCACAGGGGAGAGGAGGACCCTCCAGAGAACTGGACAAGGTGATAATGTCCTAAAGGGGACACCAAGTCCTGTATGCTTGGTTAGCGAGCGGAACCGACTCAGCTTGAAATGTTTAGTCGGAATTAGAAGGGATTTTTCCTGTCAGGCATGCACGTATCCTGCTCTGGCTCAGTGGGGAGCTTTCAACCAAAGTTGGGGTCTTATGTTTGTCTGGGTGAGACCTTTAAGGAGCATATTTGACCTGATGACTGGACAACGTTGTTTTCTTTCTGCTCTCACCATGTGACACACTCACGGGGGTGAATCAGGATTTGACGAGAGTTACTGTAAGTATTTAGATTATAATGAGTGCTCCTCACCACAAAATTCTTCTTCAGCTTTCACTTTCACAACAGAGATTACAGCCCCCTGCTGGCAAGGAATGTAACTACTGCTGGCAAGGTGTGTACTATGTGTACTGTCTTCAAAAGTTGTGGGTGAAAGGGGAACATTTTTTCCAGGCAGAGGAGACAATTTTTACTACTATTACTTAACCACTGCTTTGCAAACTCAGGGAAACACATTGTGATCTTTCTTTTTTTTTTTTTACTTTTTTTCTTCTTAAATTAATGTTGTACTCTATCATGTCAGTGTAGTTGCATGTTTTAGTGTTCAAACCCTCAATAAACTGCAATAAAGACAAACTCCTGACTTGATTTTGCGGCAGTGTGTCTTTTTCATGTTAACCTCATTTTGATTTGTTCCAGTTAATCTTCATCCTACGATCAACCGTCAATAAAAAGACAAAAATGAATTGCTGCTAAACAGGATTCATTTCTTTAATTCCCAAAGTCACTCTGCCAATAGGTTCCTCCTGGGAGTGTTGCAACACTCTTTTAACCTCTTGTATTTAAGGATCTCCTCTGGCACAATCGTGGAATAAAAACTGCGATTGGTTACCGTAAATATTAGTGTGATGTCACATAAAGGATGTTAATACGGAAATAAGGCTGCGCCGTCCTTGTTAACTCACTAACAGATGTGTCATTGCTCTCTTTATTTTCACTATACTCACAATATAATATGTGCTGTGCTGATTTGCATGCAAATACAAACACTCACACATTAATTTGTGACTATTTACACAAATCCTCATGACCCACGTCCGCAGATATGTGCCACCGCGATTTATCGCAGCCCCGTTCATGTGTATGTTTATGTGGGCTTTAATGTGTGTGCGCAAACTTCTGTCGCTTTCTCTCTGTGTCTGCAATAATAAGCATGTGCACCTTTTCTTGCCCGCGGCCTTCATACACAATTTAGCCAGAAAGCCATAGCTGATCATGATTTAGCTTGTGACACGGCTCGCCCCGAGGCAGGGGGACTAATACAGATATCTGACTCCCAGAGCGCGATGCAGGGAAGGAGAGGGAGAGAGAGTGAGAGGCCTTTTATTGACTAAATGATAAAGAGGTTGGTAATGATAAATAACAGTCATTTTATTGTGGAATTCCCAGAAAAGACACATTCTACACAATATATAAAAAGAGAAATAATAGATGAGGAAGTTGCTCGGTGAGGTCTTGACGTACTCCCTCCCTACAGAGTCGCCCATTGTTAAACTCCTATATACCCCGGCTAGGGTGGAGGTCATAAATTGGGTTAGAGGACCTGCTGTTATGACTACATAAGACGGATGCAAAGCGGCAGTGTCGTCTCTGGCAGTAGGGGGCGGACAAGGAGAACTTGGGCATGACAGTGCCACTCTTGCCCATGGGTGTCTGTCTCTCTCTCTCTCTCCCAGTTTCTCTCTATATCAGTATCTACTCTGAGAATCCTTCTTTTACCCATGAGGCATTTTCTTACTCTGTGTATTCCACAGCCTCATCTCCTACCTCCAACTCTGTGGATCTGTGCTATGACTAAAACAAGATTGTTGAGTCTAAAGACAGAGAAAAGTCCACTGTACCACAGTGGGAAGTCCCTTAAAAAGCTTGAGCATAAGATAAAGACTTCATCCTTGCATCCCTTTTCCCCGATGATGTGTTCACAGCAGAGTCGGTGCCAGAAGTCAAATAAATAAATGACAAATAAATAAATGTGAAGAGTGAAACAGCTGTCCAGTGTCTGAACCAGCTCGGCGTTCTAGTGGGAAGTTTCCAGCTCTGTTGGTTTGAGCGACTGGTGGCAGTTAGAGCCCATGTTTGCCTCAGGACACCTCTGCAGCTCTGCAGTTCCTGAGTGGAGAGTGGCCCAGAAATGAGCAGTCAAATCCAATTAAATTACTCAAATTAAATTGTACAATGGTTATGGAATACCTGATCAAATTACTCACATTCAGGGGGATTTCGACAGCAACCAATTAGTTCAAAGTATAAAGTTCACACACTCAAATTAACACCGAGAGAGGACAGGGCCTTTATTTGAGGGAACTGATACATCATAATTACATCACGTTGGAAAAATTGCAAATTAGAGAGCATGCATTTAATAATAAGAGGGAAATGGTTAATAGGTCCTGATAAAACAAATCTAGCCCTTTACAACAACGCGGCTAGCTTGGCTAAATTAAAGAGGAGAAGTTATTATTGTATCAAGGGAGCTTAAAGGGCCAGCTGTCGAACAGTCCAATCACAGTCGGACCGCACTCTTCCTTGACAAAAAAACAACCGCGGAAACCTACCCGTCAGGGATAAATGAACAGCGTCAGTGTAGACTGTAGTTACCTCTCCTGTGGTAATTGAAATATGTTCCACAGACTCAGCATGCCATTCACAGGGATTCATTTTGAACTAGGTCTTTCTCATTAAATTGGCCAAAATAGTCATTTTCTCAATAGTGATGAAATTCTTGAGAAATTCCTGCCTTAATTGTACGGGGGACTTTCTGACCTTTTTACATTTTAAATTTAGCTTCTCAAGGTGCCTTTGCAAGGTGAAACACGTGAGTAATGAGACATACAATCAGCGCGTTAATTGACTTTGAGCAAATTTAGTTCCACCAGACCAACGTATACATATCCCTCTTTTAAAAGTGAACCATTTTAGCTAATAAAGTTATTAATCTTACCCGTACAGTAATTATCACCGTAATTATGCTGTAATTGCACATACATCAAGGCCACCTCATATAGTGGGCTGGCTTGAGCTTATTCCTGATGATTTTCTTCACATCATGTTCAGATGTAAGTCTTACTCACAGAAGTTGAATGGTTAAATATTGGCAGCGTTAAGATTGAAAATGAAAGGCTTTTTTTTTTAAAAAAAAACAGCTGATGGCGGCCAAATCGGCTCAAATTAGACTTAAAGGTAAGTACAACACACACCCAGGAGTGACCTTTCTTCTCACGCAGCCTGCTTGACCCTGAGAACACAGCATCTGCATCTGTCTGGTTTTCATCCTCCACTGTCTTGCATGGATGGCACATAGAGCCACAGAAGTACCATAAACTGCGTAACATGATAATGCTGCTTTAATTACCCCATGGTCAGCCCACTTACAAACCTATTGCCGCAGCAGTCAATATCCCCAAAGATCCATTCATGCCTCGGCTGATGGTTAACTTGGGAGCCTTTGCTGAGTGCTTTAGCCTAATTGATATCCTTATTTAGCAATGAGCCAGTGGGAGTCGGAGGGGAGTTAAATGGAGCAGTTTACCAGGCAGCGAGTCTGCTAAACCCGATCCCTGACACTGCCACCGTGGCTTACTGAAGCCTGGACAGTGATTTATACCAGCTAATTTACTGTTTCAAATTGATTTATGCTGGTTTTTGGTTTAGCTAATGATTTCTTTCTACGTTTGTCCTTTTGTTTCTTTTTTTTGCCTTAAAAACCTAAAGCGCATCTAAGCCTGGATTTATCACATTTGACTTCTGCCAGGTCACTGTCTTGCACCGGGGCAGATCACAAATGAGCCTAAGATTTTTTTTTACCAGCTTTCCTGAGGCATTTAGAAAGAACCTCTCTTTCACACACAGACAGAAACACACAGTGGAGCGCAGCCCTAAATGTGATCAACACTGTGTCCTATAATAGGACATGATGCAATACATGGGATGGGACTGAAAACACCGTTTGCAGACCTCAACATCCTCAGCCATTCACTTTAGCAGAACAAAACGACACACACAGACTGGCCGTATGAGAACAATACGTACCGGGGTCAAACAAAGCTATACGAAGCAATCGTAAAATCGGCTTCTACTTCTTCTAAAGTGGGTTTGTAGGTCTCCTTCTCCTGCCTGTCTCCCCAGATATGTCTCCCTTAACAGCTCAAAGTAATTAGCAACGACCACATGCCAAAGGTAGGGTAGCTATCGTACACAGCAAAGGCAGACCTTATCTCTCAGTAGAGACAATGAGATGCACTAAGGGGCTTCTGAAGAGCTGGGAGCTGTAAGGAAGGTGGGAGGACTCCCCCAGATCTCCCTCCAAAGGTTGCTTCAGTGAGACAAGGCATTCTGGGAATACAGGATACCCTCTCACATCACGAGAGTTTAATTATCATTTTTAGAAGTAACCCATTTTTGCTACACAAACACATCTGTGTCCTCTCTGCACTAGAATAAGCAGGGCTGTAATGAAATATAAATTTCCAAAGTAACTGTAACGAAAAGCATATTTCCAAGTCTCCAATAGTCCTGTAGGGCTACCCATTAGTCACAATGTTGAACGCAGAGCTCCACCACAAAATGGCCTCCAATCTTGGGAGAGCGCCGTCAGGCCATTCTTTATACTGTCAGGATGAAGAAGAGCATAAAAACCCAGAGTCAATAAAGTCCTGTAAAATGCTTGATATCGAGACACGGTGTGCCAGTGTGATGAATTAAACGTCCAGCTCCAGATGTGATGCACTTGCATCAAGATGGAAAAAAAATGTGAAAAAAGAGGGAAACAGAACAGGAACGAAAAGCAAAGCAAACAAAGTGTCTCAAAGGTCCTTGTTTTCTAAAAAAACAACAGTTGTTGAGTTACAAAAAGCAACAAAAGTACACAGTTCCTAGGGCCACCTAGTGTGCTATAGTTACATTTGCACAATACACAATATTTTTTTTTCGTATGGATGTGCAAACCAATTGAAGTTGCAGTCACCTTTTTGAGTTTGAAGTTTTTGCAAAATGCTGATGTTGCAGGACAATAGGTGGAGTTAACAAAATTCAACTTCTTGTCGACGGCAGGTTTTATCCTGCAGCACTTTACTAAGAATGAGTGGCAATCCTCCATCAGAATAGGACAAAGCACTTATCTCCACACATAAAAATACTAACACTAAGGTAAAAAAGTAGCTATAGCCTGAGAACATAATGGTTTCTTGGACAGAGAAATAAACACTTCCTGCTACAAAATGTTAAAAACAATGCAGGATCACTGCTGTTTAAATGCGTCAGAAATTCAAATTTCCTGTAGGAAAGTTTCAAACCAGTGCTTCAAATTATTTCAACGTCTTAATCTGATGCAGCAAACTGATGGCAAAAAAATAAATACAAAATCTTAGCATTTCCCCAAACATCGTGTGGAGAATATTAAGGTTTTCAGGTGAATGCATAAACAGACATCGACATGTAGTACCTCCAGTTTGACATTAACACACAAAAACATTCCTGACTTGAGTGAACTACCTGCTTGACGTGAATGTTTTTTGCAAATGCAGGGGAAAAGAGCGAGCGAGAGAGAGAGAGAGAGAGAGAGAGAGAGAGAGAGAGGTGCAGTTTTGGACAGAACGAGTTAAGATCAGTGCTTCAGGCTAAGCAGGTTGCTATGCACTGAAATGCTAATAAGCTTCCCGGCTCTCGGTGCAGGTCGTCTAGCCTGTGCCGACTCGTCTTGACACTTCACACACATGCTGTCTTCCACCATTTTTAATCATTTTGATAGGCATCGTTGGGATGCCATCCATTTAATTTGAAAGGGTTGAAGCCACCCAAACATTTGCACCATCTTTAAACTGGGGGGGGGCTGTCCGCACATGTCGGCTGCTTTGTGACTCAACGTGGAGAAGAGCAGCTGAGTAAAACGCTGTTTAGGTTATAAGGCCAGCACTTGTAAATCCTGGGACAGATCGCTGTCAAAGGTGAGTAAATAAATAAATAAATAAATGAAAAATTGAAAAAAAATCTATATATTAATTAATTAATTAATCAATTTGAGTCTCAGTTGATCAACAGTAATCATATATACATTATGACCAGAATCAATGATTCAAACATATACAACTTAAATGATCATATTGTCAAATATTTACATATTTTAATTTATATTTAATAATGACTTAATGAATCTGTTTTTAGCCCAAATCTGAAATCTGCCACTAGGTAATTTTTCTTTCAAATATGTTTATAATTCTGGCCAAGTAGCATGCACAATGCTTGTAGAGAGCAGATCTCCAGCTTTACATTAACTCTGCGGCTGACAGTATGCAGTCCACGGGCTGCTGGTTTAAGGACACCGATTTAAAGCATTATAATTGAAAATAAAATCATCAATTTTACTGAATAAAATCCCAGGGGTAGAATAACATCAATAAAGAAGCCTGAAACCTAAATTATAAGGTAAAATAATTCTGACATTTGTTATATTATTTTACAGACCAAAAATATACGAGCAATATGAGGTGAATTGAGTTAAATAAGGGGAAATAAAACACAGTCTCTAAATCTAATTGAAAAAATATTCTTGTTTTTGAGATACTGCTGGAGAACATGTAGTCTCTGACAGAGTTTAACAGCCACTGTCCTACTTTATATATCATATAATTCTCCCAGAAAAATCTCAGAGCCTGCAGCCAACGGAGTGTGGTCAGGAATGAACCCTTGCCATGTTGTATGATTCATAGGGAAGAAATAACATATTTTATTGGAGTCTGAGAGATTTATTTACTAGCAAGGTGCTGGATGTGTAAGGGAGGGGATCACTGGGGATTTTAACATCCAATTTGCTGTTGTACTCCTCTATAAACATCAGTCAGAAGAAATGGGACAAATTCTACACAAAGTAATCACAAACAAACCATTACATTGCATTTTGGTAATTGTCAGGAGACGCTCCAGTGGACGACTATCCACTTAGACATCCCCACTTGCCTTTTGGGCTTTTCTGCCTTTGACTCTGTGTGTTAGATGATATTACCGTGACTCTCAAGATAAAGATATCATACATTATTGGTTTAGACTGGCAAAGAAAAAGAGAAGGAGAGACCAGGAAAAACAGCGTGGGCGAGAGACAGACGTATGTAGGGAGCAATGTACAAATATATCTCCTCTCGGAGAACGGCGCGAGTTTCTTCTGTGTAAGGCAGCTGGAGCTCTCCCTGAAAACCACAGTGAAGCCCACAACATGTCTGCATGTTAGTTTCTCACAGTGACTGATGCACGTTTTTACCCTCTCTGTCTGCTCCCAGTGCAGCGTGCACACTAAACCACCATTTAACTCCAGTGTAATATAGTTGAACGCTCTATATTGGCTAGACACAGGAGCAGGGTTGTTGTGTTTACCTTCATCAACAAAAACCAACAAAGGAAAAACACAGTTGCAGTCGTGGTCATGAACCAGGATGTTACTAAGAGCTGGACAGGAGGAATTGACATAATTATTAATTAGTCAATGTTACTGAATGGAAAAATCTGTCCTTGTTTTTCTCCCCAGAGCTTAATCGGACGCAGCCAAGATGAAGCTAAACTAAACAATACCAGGCAGTTAATCTCCACGACCATACAGTTCAGATGTTGATAATGTCCACGGCTCTTAAATAAGCGAGCGGGCACAGGTTTTTTAGATTTTCTCGTTTGCTGTTGTTTGCGGTCTTTAAGTGGTGTTTTATTAAAGCCAGTCATCTTCCATAGAGCCCTAATGCATTTACCTATCCTGATGCTAATGATAGCCTCAGAACACATTATTCAGCATTAGTTTCATTTCCCTTTGAGCCTCAAATGGCGACAAACGGTCTTGTAGCCATTAGAGCTTTAACGTGTACGAGGCACGCCACCCGCAGTCCATCTGTCAATGTGGCCCAAATGGAAATGGAACTATTTATCTATTTATCAGGAGCCCAAGAACTAAAGAGAATAAATCAGCTCACTCTGTGCAGGAAAGATTGAGATATATCACTTAGCGCAGCCACGTGAGGAGAAGAAATAAGTGCCAAAACATAAACATGTAGAAGTTTACGCCTGCAGGAATTCTTTTTTTCCCGGACAAAAAGCAGTTTTTGTCTTTGTAATTCATACATTTATGAGACTACAGAAATCTATACATATTAATGGAGATAATATTAATAGAAAGTATCTTCTGTGCATGGACAAAATGTTCTTGTTCAGTATGTTAATGTCATTGTTTTTAGGAGCAGCATAAGTTGAAAGAATATGTTGGAAAAGTTTATGTAAAGTGGACACATGTGGATGTAAGTCAGACAGACACAGTGGGAACGGCCATATTACTGTACTTACCCTGCCATCTACTGGCTCACATCATTCTAGGCCGTGCAGCCGCCCCTCCCTCCGTGATGAGCACACACCATCTCCCTCTCTTTCTTTTTCTCATGCACCCGTGGCTCTCTTTTCTGTCTCGCTTTTTGTTTTCATGCATCTCTCCTTCTATTTACCTTCCACTTTGTTGCTAATTTTAACTCTCTTTGTCCCTGGGTTGCGTGTGTCTGCACGGAGGAGCGACCGTCTGCCCTCCATGTCCACTTTACAAAGAGAGAAAGCCCGGGCTACAGTGTTGGAGGGAACAGAAGACGACTGTTATCAAAAAATAAGCACGGTGTTTGAAAGGGATTTTAATTGAGGCATTCGTTATATTTGAAAAGGTGAAGTCCTGCGGGTACAGAGGAAGCGGAGTGCCGACCTCATTCATACCCTCAGACATTCATAAAGAATGGCATCTTTTGACTTTCCTTTTTAAAACGGCGCAACCTCAAATGGCCTAAATATAAAGAAGAGAAGGCAGATACTGTAATTCCCTGCACCTTGGGGGGGCGCCACCAGAGTGCAGGACAGTAGGATACAGCTGAGGACTCCAATTAACAATGGGAGAGGGTCCGGCCACCATCAATGAGAGTGTGTGTGTGGGGGTGGCAATGGGGTGGGTTCTTCCTACCAGCCCCTGAAGGGTATGTCATATTTATTTATCTCTTTCTTCTTCCCCTTTCTCCCTAATTAATTTTCGCTTCTTCCTCCACTTCCTCATTCTGTCTGTTTGGTAATCAAATAATTATTAATGAAAAGACGTGATAACAGACCGTTTATGTACGCGTTGTTTTTCTAACGCTCAACTAGGTGAAAAGGTCGGCACGTATGTTGCTTTTAAGAAAGGTCAGCATTTACATATGGGCTTCAACAGAGACAGACGGCAGCTGATGACGACTTTACTGTACAAGTGTAAGTCAAAAGGAGAGCAGAGGCGTCGTATGTTTGTTGTTTTTCTTCTTTCTTTCTCTACCCAAAAACTGAACTTCATTTCAGTTCCAAGACGCAGCAAAGAAGCCAGTTGTGACGTGGTCAGAGAGACAAAGACAGAGACCGTCGTCAGCTTTTAGCCGTAAACACCTCCATCCTGTCATTCGCCGTCTTATGTGGTTTCACGGTGACTCTGTGATGAACTCTCCCTGCGATACAGTAAAATGTTTTATCCCTGTGCTTTGGGAGATACCTGCAGGCACCGCTCTGTGTAAGCACCCTTGATGATTTATGCAGTGTCACTGAATCCAAGGCGGAATCCTTGATGATGAGGTTATCTGAC